AAAAAAAAACTGGATAATTTCACTGAACAAAATCAAGCATTTTACAAATAGTATAAAAGTTGAAAGGAAACATCTGAAATTGGACTCAGTTGCCAGCAAAAGTAGGTACAGCTGTTTGTGGACCAAGAAGGTAACTTATGACTTTTCCACTGAATTTTAACTGCAAGTAGTTTAGAATACCGGGTGACCTGAATACATTTATTGACGTATAATTGACAGTTGAATGATTCAGATGTTACTGCAGAAGATCATGAATAGGACCGATGAGGTTTTTCATTGGCTGTTGGCAGTCCATTTTGTTCACAGTAATTCCTTCGTCGTTTGACTGCTGCGTCATGGCTGGGCTTGCCGAATTTACACGATCTTTTCAGTTCACTAGGCTGTATCTGCAAACAGTAGGAAGAATCTGAAGTAATCGTAAACAGTTAGGAGCCATACAAATTAGCAGTGTTAGTCATATTATGTGGATACTTCAGAGTGCTATTGCAGAGGAACACTTCATGTTGAAAGCTTTTGTCTGTAAAGTGTTTGAACTTGACGTACAATTGCAGTCATCTGAATATTAATTAATTCGAATTCTGATATGTAACTGTTGAAACTGATTGTCTTAGAGTAGACGTAAATTATATTCTTCTCCACAAGGGTCTACTAACTATTGAAAGAAAAACTAATTAACTAATTTTTGATGCTTATTGCATTTTGTGACTTAAAGGAGAACTTTAAAATGTTGAAGAAATTATTACTTGAAGACTATTCTGTCAAATAACAACAATTGATTATCCAAAGAAAAAAAAGTTTTTATATTTGTTTGTGTTAGACAGAAGAGATTTTTCAAGTTTTAGAATCTTCTGGTAAGATTTATAATATTGACAGATGCGCAGTAAAAAAATGATACAACTTTTATTTTGATTAAAATTAAGCGTAAAAGTTATTAGTCTATGGTACATTTGACTGTCAAATTTTCTAGTCTCAATTTATTTTTTTCATGAACTTATTCTACCAAAAGAGGTTTGATATGCTAAATTAATGTTCATCAGCTACTGTATTATTTTTGAGAGAAAAATAACTAGGAAGATTTTACTAATAAAAAGAAAACTAAAGTTTGCTGAACGAATTCTTCAACAAAACATCCGAGTTATTCTTTTGTTGCATCGACAAAATCTAAAGGAATTAGGTCCCATTAAAACTGAATGGATATCTAAATCGCTCGTTGAGCAGACATACATTAAACTGGGCATATTGTAAATGAAACGAAGAAAAATTTGACGATTGTTAAATGAAAATATGTGGATTATTGAATGGGTCAAAATTTTGTTGATAACCATATCTGTTGATACTATTGGTTGTTGGTTAACATTAATTTTTACCTTATGTCTTTTCTGAAAAGAAGGAAGAAAATTTAATATTGTCTTTAAATAGTGTTATATAATTGTTGGATTTTGAGCAACAGCTCCACTGAAAGTGACATATACGGGTATAACCATAACAGAAGTGTATTGTTGATGACAGGTATCACCACCTGACAAAACAACTGGATTTTTTACCCATATATTAGCATTCTTCTAGAATAATTTAGAACATTTTGTCGGCAAATTTGGTATCAAATTATTGACACATCATATATTTCAATTTATTTTAATAACATCATTTCAATGATTGAAACGAAGAAAAAAAACTCTGTAAATTTAAGCAATAAATTTTTTTTTTTTTAAACTTTCGTCAGAATAAAGTGGATCAAATTTGTATATGCAAATTAAGAAATGCCAACAATTTATTTTGATAATGGTTATTTCGTTGGATAGATAAATTATTTGTAACCCTTCAGAATTATTTGTTTAACTTCTGCGTATAACTGTTGTCGTTGTTGATGTTTGGTCATTCATTGATTACCAAAGCTGTATTTCGAAGCCGTTGTTTGTTCCCAGGTTATCAACAACGGGATACAGATTTGTTAAAACCATTCAATCAACCTACGGTTTTTTTTTTATTTTTTCACTAGAAGACAGTTTCAGCAATGTTACTTTTGCATCAAAATAATACAGATATAAGTTGGCAACAAAATAAAAGAAAAAATTTTCTTTTCTTTTGCTAAACGGTTCAGATTAGGCAAGAATCTATGTAAGTGGAAGTGATTCCAAGTTGATGACATCAAAAATTCCAGCAGTATGACGGTAATCGGTTGCCACGATGACGTATCGTCACAAATAGCCATTACAACAATGTTGCCAGGTTCACTGTATTTGCTTCAGTAATGTCAGTTGGGCTATCCCGTCTAACGGATCATCATTTCTCCTCTTCCTCTTTCTTCTAGTTCGGAAAAAAAACACTTATGTTACGTCTAATGTACATCAAAAAAAAAGAAACTTACAATTTGTTCGATTTAATGCGCTGCATTACGATCGAAGCAACAGGAAACGTAATGACCCGACAACAATAAACACACAGAAAAGAAACATTGGTTTTGTTAGCTTTCTTAGACTACAATCATTGTTTTTACTTGTTTCTTAGTGT